TAGTTCCCATGCTCTACGGTGGAATTTTTTCCCATCTGTAAGCAAGACCAACATATTTAAATTCCTTAGGCTGGTATACAGAACCTGTTTGGTAAGGGTGTGAACCACAAAGATTCTTCCTTTAGGCTACAGCTGCAGGTCCTGAGCTGCGTGCACCTCATGTACTCTCAAGGCGTGGCCGTCCATATTTACCTAGGAATTAAACCTCTGTAAACTGGGTTCCCACCTCCACCACCGGGACAGACAGACAGAGAATCGGCCACACACTAACTGTGCTGCCCTTCAGTTTTCCCTTTGGGTTCCCCTTAATTTCTTATTGGTTCAGCTTTAATTTTAAAAGCATGCACGTCAAATTTACCTGGAATTTCTTGGGAGAGGTCAAACGAAACTCCGGGTAAAATTGCTGTGAATCACGTGCTTTTGTAAGAAATATCTCACTCGGAGTTTTGTCTACTGCTCACTCAGTTTCTCTTACGGGTGACTTTCTCTTAAGCAAGTCTAGCCCAGGGACACACCCAGGTCCTTGTCATTCAGACAAGGTTACAGGACACTTCTGTCGCCACAGGGATCCTGCAAGCCTCCTTGGGTAGCTGTGTCCCACCCCCTCCTCACCTCTCACCCCACCACGTGGCAATTACTAATCTGTTCTCCACTTCTAAAAAGTTTAGTCGTTTCAAGGATATTACATGAGCAGACTGACGCAGTACACAGTCTTTGGAGACATGCTTTCTAAACGCCACCTTAACTCCCAGAGATGTGTCCCGTGGATGTGGCCCAGGACAGCCTGCCCACGCTCCAGTAGGCGGCTCACAAACTATTGCCCTCTCACAGACTAGGAGCCCTAAGTGGACTCAGCGGGTTTAAAAAGACTTCATTATGAAAGAAGTGGGAAAGAGTAAGATCTGGAGAGGACAGGAACTCCACAAGGAGAGCAACAGAACCAAAAATTTTGAGCACAGGGGTCTTTCCAGAGACTCCTACACCAACCAAGTACCATGCATGGAGATAACCTAGAACCCCTGCACAGAGGTAGCCTATGGCAGTTCAGTGTCCAAGTGGGTTCCATAGTAATGGGAAGAGGGACTGCCTCTGACATAATCTGATTGGCCTGCTCTTTGATCACCTTCCCCTGAGGCAGGAGCAGCCTTACCAGGCCACAGAAGAAGACAATGCAGCCACTCCTGATGTGACCTGATAGACTAGGATCAGAAGGAAGGAGAGGAGGACCTCCCCTATCAGTGGACTTGGGGAAGAAGGGGGAGGGAAGGTAGGATTAGGAGGGGAGGAGGGAGGGGCTTATGAGGGGATACAAAGTGAATAAAGTATAATTAATAAAATAAATAAAATAAAAAGACTTCATTAGGTTGGGAGGGAAAAAGTGGCATGTGATGGGAGGAGCCGGAGCGGGGAAGCGCAGGGAGGATCTGATTAAAATACACTATATTCATGTATGGAATTTTCAAACAATGAAAAAAAAAAGATGTGGGCGCTCAAGCGATGGATGACTCAGTAATTTAAAACACTTGCTGCTCTTTCAGAGGAACAGAGTTCAAATCTCAGCATCCAGCTCACTACCACCCATAGCACTAGCTTCAGGGGATCTAACACCCTTGTCTTGTCCTCTGAGGGCATCAGTATAAATGCACACACACACACACCCCACAAATAAATAACAAAATAAATCTTTAATAATGAGCCACAAAAAAGAGCATGTTTTAGCTCCAGAGTTAGTCTGGAATGTGAGATAACTGAACACCAACACATGCACATGAAAAAAGGGGGGTCATGTAAGACCCCAGATTTCTGCCATATTTGTTTCATAAATAATGGGCTCAGATGGGCCTTCTGTGAAAAGTCAGAGCAATGTAAAAATAAAATACCCAAGATCTCCATAACCCTTAAAGAGGTCTCTAACATGAAAAATGATAATAGAACAACCAAGCACACTGGAAAACAGCCCCGTGGAAGGAGCTGACACCATGCAAGAAGGAGGGAGCACCCTGCCGAAGTCTGTCCTTGCCCCAGAGGTAAACAGAATCTGAGACAGAATACTTAAAAAGAATTTCAAGAAGCAAAAGTTGAGAGAGAGAAAGAGAAAGAAAGAGAGAGCTTTCCCAAGAAGCAGAGCAAATGAAGAAAAATCTGTATGGATAGGAGTTTTGACCATGACAAGTAAGCATAAAAATAAATAAATGAAAATAAAGAATTAATCATGAAAGAAGTGACTTGAAGGCAGGTGTCTTTTCTACCGAAAACCTCACCAAGACACAGTGGCTCTTCTACGTGTTTAGTGAGGAGGGAAGAATGGAATTTGAATGACATCAGGAAACAGTGTAGCAATACCTACTGATTTCTCAGGGAAAATTACACGTAGACCATCACATACGTGGGGGGAATTATCATGCAAGTTCATAACTAAAATAAAGACCATTTTAGGTACCCAGGAATCTCTCGAAGGAGGAAGTACTTCATAAAACATGAGAGGGATGGCTGTCGGCACTGGACCAGCCTAAGAGCGGGGCACTGGAGGAGACACTGAGCCGCCCTCCCACTCCACCCATGTCATCCGTGGCTGAAGTTTTACCACTGAGAAATTCAGATGCAGGGAGTTATCCCCTTCAGTTTGATGCTCACTGGTGACCCTGCTGATCCAGTGCTCACACTGATGGTCCTGCCTCAACGAATTGGGTCTCAGAACAGAAGTAAAAGCTTTCAATCTGAGAAAGGGAGTGGCAGGGAGGACAGGATCTTGATGAGGACGGAGGGAGGTCAGAGCCAGGGGAAAGATCTTCGGGATACCCCCTGAAGAGTTTGTCATGGCTCTCTTACTGTTGGTTAATGGGTAAGTCATACCCAAGAACCTGAAGGGCTGAGAGACCAGCTGTTAGAGACAACTTTGAGCACTTGTTCACCTTTGCTTACATGAGAGACCAGATATCCTAAGTAGCACATATCAAGGGAACAGAAAGCAAGAGAGCTCGAGGGGACCTGGGGTCAGAGCTGGGCAGTTGCCTAGGAAAATTCACCAAGGTGCTCCTAGGAGTTAGCTTTAAGCACCTGCCAAGCCAAAAGAACACTGTCCCCTGCTCACAACAGTGTGGTCCTTTAGCTCTCCTGCCCAAACCTTCCCTTCTGAACAGGGGGAGCAAAGGCAGAAACCGAGTAATGCTTTCCTTATCTCCACATAGTCCACTCAGGACAAAGAAACCACAGACCTGCACATGTCCTGAGATGCATCACGTGGCAAGATGAGTTTCCAGGCAAGACCGAAACCATTTTAAATGAATCAAGACAATATAAATAGGTAAATGCTTTGGTTCCGTGATGAGATGAAAACTTAATATATTTTCTAAACTCTTTTTAACAAACCAAGCCGAGGATATATTGTTTTAAAGAAGACAATGGAACAAATACCACTTCCTTGCCATTCTAGCTATCATTAATTTCAAACTATTCATATTCCTCAGATTTGGGGATTATTCAGAGACGGCTAAGCTGTGCTTTCCCCCATCAATTTCAGGGTGACGACAAAGGAACTTATCCTTTACCTAAGAAATCACTGCCTTCCCTCTTTTTCTTCACAGGCACGTGGTCCTCTAGTGGCAATTCCTCGCAGAATATATATATACATACATATATATGTATATGATATATATGTCCTATTGTAAGATACTCCTATTATAAGACACCCCATTCTTCTGCATATTTCAATGTATTTAGATTGGAGGAGCCTTGATTTCTCCACAGGTTATGAAAAAAAAATATCAATCATTCACTAGACTAATCCTGGATTCTTTTCAGCTCTGCAGCAACATGTCCTGGACTGTCTTGAGGAAAGTGAAGAACATACTTAGTCACCTGCCTACTATGCCATAAAGTGATGATCTTCATGAACCCAAAACTGAGCAGAGTAAAAATGCTCCCTTTGCATTTCTTCTGGGCAGCTGGAGATAGAGAATCAGCAAAATTTTCTGCTTTACTCTTTCACCCAGTAGCATCCCACATCTAAAGATGACCGCCATGATCTAGGAGTCTCTCGTCTGGGACTGGAAGATGATGTTTCCATCAACCCGAGGCTTTGCCTACGAACCTAAGAACATTGGTAAGAACCAGTGTTTAAACTCTCTGATGAGTCACAGCCTCGTAGAAAGCAAGAAACTTGTGGCTATTTAAAAATATGGCTGATCTCACATATTAGCAAATTATTTAGTATAAATGAAACTAAGAAGTGAGAGCAGAACGGTATTACCTTTTTTATAAGAATTTTTAAAATGTGTGTGTGCACGCGTGCGCGCAGCGTGTGATGCATTTGAATAAGTGGATGCATTCACCCGGTGTGCGTGTGTGAAGGCTAGATGTCAATGTCCAGCATCTTCCTCCATAGCTCTCAGTCTTGTTTTCTGAGGCAGGATCTCTCACTGAACACAGGTTCATCATTTTGGTTAGACTAGGTGACCAGCAAGCCCCTGTGATCCACCTGCTTCTGTCCATCCTGTACGGGGTTCCAAGTGAGCCACTCCTGGCTCCTGTATGGACTCTAAGAATCTGAACTTGCTTCTGAAGAAAGCATTTTACCCACAGCACCAGCTCCCCAGCCCTTGCATTACCTTCTTAACTCATAGTAGGTTCACAGTAAGTGAGCAAGGAGGGAATTATAGTCAGAGCCTCTCAAGGACCTCCACCAGGACGACATAACCTTTGCCCCTAAATCCTGAGGCCATCAAGCCAGCAACTGAACTTAACATGCCTTCACTCTCTAAGGACCCAAGTGTCTGGTTTTTCTGAACCCTGTGACCATCACGTAGATAGGATAGATGTAGGCAGATATGCAGATGTAGGAAGTAGGACCGTTCCCAGTCAAATACGGACACTTGAGATTGTCTATCTACGGTAGACAGTAAGCTACCAAAGGGAACACTTCAGAGCCACCCCTTCTCCCCTTCTCACACACCCAGAGTCACTGACACACTCTACACAGGAGGGGCCAAGCCGCCACTGACCTTCCAGTCAGACATCTCCGCAAAGAGTAGGAGGCTCCTCCCCCACAGGTCCGGGAGCAGCCGCTCCAGTCGCCCCAAGCGTCCCAGTTTCCATCTTTGTCTTCCTCCGAATGAGCGTTTCTTGAGGTCTAGATGTAGGGGGGAAATATAGCCAGTTACAGAAGGTCAAATGTCACCTCATTTTATTCACAAGAGATAGCCACAGGAGTCTAATCCAGTGAATGGGATAGCAGTGTTGACCGTCACAGGCTCCTGGGGCAACGAGGGGAGGAGCCTGTCCAGACATGCGCAATGAGAAAGTGACATACTACACTGGGCTTACGGTTGGCAATGCTGAATCGATTACTTTAGTTGGTCGGGAGGTTAGATAACATCGTCCGAGCTTCCCTTTAAAGGGGGTAGAAGTGGCTCAGCAGTGAGAGTGCTGGTTGCTCTTCCAGAAGACCTGGGTTTGATTCCCAGCACCCACGTGGCAGATGTCAATAACTCCACAACTGCCTGTAACTCCAGTTCCGGGGAATTCAATGTGGAACACGGGCGGTACACAGACACAAATGCAAGCAAAACACCCACAAGATAAAGTAGACATCACAATAAAAAGCAAAATCCCAAAAAGGTGAGTGAGTAAGAAAAACTGTCTCAATTAAGAATGATAGTATTGGGAGGAAGTGGCGCACGCCTGTAATCCCTGCACTCAAGAGGCGGAGGCAGGTGGATCTCTGTGAGTTCAAGACCAGCCTGGTGAGTTCCTGGTCTACAGAATGAGGAAAAACAAACAACCCCCCCCCAAAAAAAAGATAGAATTGACATAGCAATAAGTAATGCTAAAAAGTTTCATTATGACAGTTCATATGTGCATATAAAGAACTTTTATCATATCTACTAAAAGCAATTTTTAAATATTTTAATTTTTGAGATAAAACCTCACAATATAGCTCGAACAGACACTGCATTTCCTATGCACCCAGGCTGCTCTCCACCTCAGGAGCCTCTTGCCTTGGCCTCTTAAATACGAGTATTTAAGTCGTTAAAATAAAATTAAAAAAACAAAACAAAACAGATAAACTCTTGGTCTGAAAAAAAAACTGCTCAGAAGTTAAAGATACTTGTTGGTCTCACAGAAAACCCAAGTTTGATTTCCAGCACACACCTGGTAATTCCTAACTGTTGGTAACTCCGGTTCCAGGGGATCCAGTGCCCTCTTCTGACCTCAGCAGGCACCATGCACATTTATGGCGAACACACATACATGCAGGTAAAACACCCGCACATAAAATACGATGAATACATCTAATAAAATGTTTTTTTTAATCTATGAATTCTTAAAATATGTCAAAATGAATTCCTTATCTGTTAGAAATTTATACTAAGGCACCGAAACCATAAAGCGCCAGAAGAATCATATGCCACATAGGCGTTGACAGTCAAAGGGCTAGCATAGGAAAGGCTATCAGATTTATTAACAGAGGTTAAAGAGTCGGAAGGAAAAGGCTGGTAGAGTTTAATTCCTTTAAAATAAAAACAAAGCATTTTCTAGCATCATGCAAAGACAGCTCAATGAGCACACACATGAAAACATGGTGCAGAAGTACAGCTATAAAGAACACACATCAGATTCCCTGCACTCTGCCCAAAGGTTGGCCCTATGTCTCAGCTTTGATACCCTGCAGGGCGGGGTCTTTCAGAGGCCCTCTGTGGCAGGCTCCTGACTTGTTTTCTGTTTTCTTCCTCTTCTGATGTTATTCCTCTTTGCCTTTCTGAATGGGGATTAAGCATCTTAGCCAGATGCTTAATCTGGCTAAGATTAATTAGATGTTAATTAATATTAATTAGATGCTTAATGCATCTAATCAGCCTCCTTCCTGATTAGCTTCTTTAGGTGTACAGATTTTAGTATGTTTATCCCATATCATATGTCTAATATCCACTTATGAGTAAGTATATACCCTGTGTGTCTTTCTGCTTCTGGGATACCTCACTCAGGATGATCTTTTCCAGTTCCCACCATTTATCTGCAAAAATCTGGGTACAGGGGTATTTTCTGAGACTGACACTCCAACCAAGGACCATTCATGGAGATAACCTAGAACCCCTGCACAGATGTAGCCCATGGCAGTTCAGGATCCAAGTGGGTACCCTAGTAAGGGGAACAGGGACTGTCTCTGACAAGAACTCAGTGGCTGGCTCTTTGATTGCCTCCCTCTGAGGGGGAAGTAGCCTTGCCAGGACACAGAGAAAGACAATGCAGTCAGTCTGATGAGACCTGATAGACTAGGATCAGAAAGAAGGGGAGGAAGACCTCTCCTATCAGTGGCCTGGGGGAGGGACATGGGTGGAGAAGGAGGAGGGAAGGTGGGATTGGGAGGGGAGGAGGGAGGGAGTTACAGGGGGGATACAAAGTAAATAAATTGTAATTAATAAAAATTAAAATAAAAAAAGAACACACATCAAATTGCCTCTCAGAAGATAGAGATGGGACTCCTCCTTGCTGCCCACCACAGGAGGAAGGACAGTGCTTTACAAAGATGTCTACAGCAAATATGCACAAGCTTTAAAATCAGCATTAAACCAAGTGAATTGTCATGGGTGAGAATTTCCTTACTGTCTGAGCTTTGGAGGTTTTTGAAATTTCTTTTTTAAAAGTATTTTAGGCCAAAAGTACAATCATTAGATGACATTGTCTTATCTAGCTATGAATCTGTATCATGTTTAACACAGGTAAGTCTGCACGGGAATAGAGAAAGAGATGCCCAGATGAGTTACTGTTACAGTGAGTGAGGGGGCTTTGGATGCCTTTAGCAACATTTTGTGTTGTGTCTCCGTATTTTGTAGCATTTTAAACAGTTGTTTTTGATGCTTGATTATGTATATGCAAATGTGTCTGGGTCCGAGGGGTTTGCACGTGAGTGAGTGCAGGCTACTTTGGTGGCCGGAAGAGGACATCAGATCCCTTGGAGGGTGGTGTGGTCCTCCAGAATGAGTGCTGAGAACTGACCTCCAGGCCTCCAGAGAAAAAGCAGTAAGTGCTCTTAACTGTTGATCCGTCTCTCCAGACCCTTCTACCATATTTTAAAAGACAAAACACGTAATGTCTTGTTCAAACCAAGCAAGCAAACAAACAAACTAACAAACAAACAAAAAAAGCCATATCCTCTTGGACATTTCCTATAGAAATGTCCAAGTCAGACTTTAATGGGTAAGTTGTAAGTTAGAGAATGTAAAGGTATAGAGGGGAGCCATGACAGGGTAAGCTATTGCCTGGGTTTCCCTAAGCCTCTGGGCAAGTGACATAATCATCCCCTCCCTCAAAAAGTTACATTGAGAGTGGGATTGGTAGGGAAGACCTTCAAAACTGAAATGAAAAAATAGTGGCAGGAAGCAAAAAGAAGGTTTTCCAATAATTTTCACTCAAGTCCCACTGGCCCTTGGGTCTGACAGCTTCTATTTATAGCACAGTGAATAGCCTTATAGAGCAGTACTTCAGCCTCAGTAGAGAGACAGAAAGGATAAATATTTGGCAGCTGATCACATTTGTCATCAGGAATGGGAGCTAGCTAATTAAACCCACACTATTTACTGTTCTCATTAAGACCACTGTTCAGTTCGATTTTCTGCCCTGAATGTCACCAAACATCGCTGCACACTGTCTGTGATACAGTAGAAAACATAAAATTCAATTCATAGAAAAATACAATTAGCAGTTTAACGCATTCATCTGGACTTTTAGACGGGGTGAGTGTAGATCATTTAGGCAAATATTTAAACTATACTCAGCTGAAATTGATTTTTTCATTTTGTCACTGGATATATGAATTGGTCAAATGTGAAAAGTTGAAAAATATCATCATATATTTTTTAAACGAAAGTTGAGAGCTCTTTGCAATATTGTTTTAATTTGTTTTTATTCCCACCATCCCATCTGTTCCATTTATAGTTAGAATCGGGTTTCTTTCCATAACTCTTCCACCTTCACTTACAGAAAACATCTTGATTCTAAAATAATTAAAACGGGCACATTATAAAATGAAAACATCTGGTTTCTCTGATTGGATCCGTCAGATTTTTTTTCCCCCTTAAGAAAACAGAAAGCAAATGGCATGTCAAGGAGTCTGCGGGGTGTTTTTCTTCTCTGTTAGGGTGGCAGGGTTCTCCGGAGGCCAGCGCCATTTTTTGCCAGCCACCTGAACCTCTCATGCATTCTTCCTCAATACAAAGTGACAGCAATGGCCCTGATTTTACCCCCCCCCTCTTTTGTTCTTCCTTTCCTGGAATATCCATCTCTCTAGAGAGGCTGGGCCCCAAGCCTTTTCTTCTCAGGGGAGAAAAACCCTTTTAGACCTTTTCCAAAGCCTCCACTCTCTGGCTCACACCCCAAACACTTTCTGCTCTTTCGTGACTGTGCTCAATTTCTGCACACGATTAAGGATGCAAATTTTAAATCTCAAAATGTAGTGTCTAGACTACGGCATTATATCTAAAAAGAACGGAGGCCACGTATTGCCCTGTGACCCAGATTCCCGTGTGTGTGTGTGTGTGTGTGTGTGTGTGTGTGTGTGTGGTGTGTGTGTATGCGTGTGTGTGCACAGTGCATGGGAAGGCATGGATGTGGAGATCAGAGACTACCCTGGGTGTTCTTTCTCAGGAACAGTCCACCTTAATTTTTTTTAATTCTAAAACAGTGTTTTGTATCAGCTTGGGCTCACCAGCCCAAGAAATATGTCTGTCTCAGGCTCCCTGGTGCTGGGATTACAAATTTGTGCTATCATGCCTGGTTTCTCTGTATAGTTTCTGGGGACTGAATTAAGCTATCTCCTTAATCCAATGTCAAATCTCTTTTGATAAAGTTTTCCTCCCTTTAATTCTCCCCTCACCCTTCCTTCTTCCCTTTCTTTTTTCTTCACCTCCCTCCCTCCCTTCCTCTTTCCCCCTGTTTCTTCTTTTTTCAGGCTCACCATTTATTGGAACTCTCTATAGCATTACATAATGATTAAAGCTGTTACACTAATCGTTTAGCCATCTAAAACTCACGTTAAACCACCATGGCCACCGTTACTCACGAAATGCTTAAAACACGCGTAGAAAGTAAATCACATAGCATCTCCATGCAGCTGGCGAGTGTGTGTATGAC